AGCTTGCCCACTTAACCACTACGCCATGGGGCTGGCCCCGGTGCTCTGTAGTTCTTATTTGTTCTTTTTGGTGAGGAAGATTAGCCCTGAGCTAACATCCGCTGCCCATCTTCCTCTTTTTGAGGAACATTAGCCCTGAGCTAACATCTGTGCCCATCTTCCTCTATTTTGTATATGGGACGCCGCCACAGCATGGCTTGATGAGCGGTGCATAGGTCCACCCCCCAGGATACGAACCCGCAAACCCTGGGCCGCCGAAGCGGAGCGTGCCAAGTTAACCATTATGCCACCGGGCTGGCCCTCTGTAGTTCTTAGTCTTATATGGTCTGAGAAACTGAAAACTACAGTCTGCTTTCAGTCTACCTCCTTGAAATGAGAAGCTGATCTGTATTATTGTTACTTTTTAGAAGTCCACTGAAGTTTTGTTTGTGGCCTAATTTGTATTTTGTAAATGTCTATGGACAATAAATCACAAAGGTATTTTATCTGTTTTCAGTGAATAGTTTACTATGGCTGCAAAAAATAGGTTTCAATTTCTCTACCTTTTTTTTCTTTTTTTTGTGAGGAAGATCAGCCCTGAGCTAACATCCATGCCAATCCTCCTCTTTTTGCTGAGGAAGACTGGCCCTGAGCTAACATCTATTGCCAATCCTCCGCCTTTCCCCCCCACCCCTTATTCTCCCCAAAGCCCCAGTAGATAGTTGTATGTCATAGTTGCACGTCCTTCTAGTTGCTGTAAGTGGGACGCCGCCTCAGCGTGGCCGGACAAGTGGTGCGTCAGTGTGCGCCTGGGATCCGAACCTGGGCCACCAGTAGCAGAGCATGCGCACTTAACCACTAAGCCACGGGGCCGGCCCCTCTTTTTGGATTTTTTGCTTCAAAAATCTGATGTTATCAGGATAGCTTTATTTAGATGTTCAGTCTTTGTTTTATTCAACCTTTGCTGTCATTCTATAATTGAATCTTTTTAATAAGTGAGTTTATTCCATTTACATTCACTGATTTAAAAATATTAGCCTTAGTTCTGTCATTTTTAGTTTATGCTGTGTGGTCTGTGGTTTTTTTTTGTATGTGTGTGTGTACATGTTTTCTGATTGCATTAGAATATACAGAGTCTAGCTTTGGTTTTTCAATTGTTTATTTTAAATTAATATTCTTAAACACTCGACTTATCAGCTTTAGAGGGTATCTGCTGAAGCCCTGCTAATGAAACTTACACATATATTTCTTCCTCCTTTCTACCTCTCAATTTCAGTTAAATTGTTATTTCTAGGATGTTACATATATATTTCTTCCTCTTCTCTACATCTCAGTTTTAGTTACATTTTTTTTTCCCCCAGAATATTATATTCTGATCTCTATCCTTTCTACATTTAAATGGATTGAATGCTATCATTTCTTTTCCGTCATGGCTGCTCCATTTCTGGGGTCTTTATTTTGGTTCATCTCTTGGTTTTATGATTATGTCCTTTATAAAGAATAGTTCATGGGTGCTATATTCCCTCCAGTTCTTACATGTTTGAAAATATTCATTTGTGTTTTCAGGCTTGACTGTCATCTTGGGTTAGTATAACATTTTGGGGTATAGAATTACTTTCTCTGAGAAAGTTGTAAATATTGTTTCATGATCTTCCAGTACTCATTTTTACTGTGGAGTTATCTGAGGCAAGGCTCATTTTTTCCCCCCTTGTCTGGTGACTTGCATTTTTAAAAAATGGAAAAAAAAACCCCAAATGAACTTTTATTTATCTCTGAATTCTGGTAAATTCACCACACATATCTGGGGTCAATCATTATCAGTATTTCCTGGACTATGGTGTGACTTCTAACCTTTCAGATTCAGATCTTTTATTTCAAAAAAGCTTGTCTATTATCTTTGAATATATTTTTTTTTCTATTCCATTTGCTCTGTTGTCTAATACCTATGAGTTAGATCCCTTTTGTTTTCCTTACATACACCTAATTTTCTTTCTGATACTTTATTTTGTTCTTTTCTATTCCATTTTACTTGATCTTTCAAAGCCTTCTTCCATGTACCTATTTTTTCTTTATGGTAGTCAAGAAATATACATCCACAAAATGATTTTTAATGGTTACATGGGATTGTACTGTGTATATGTAGGATAGTTTTATTAATCTTCCTATTAGATACTTAGATTGTCTCCAATTTTTCCCCATTTTAAACATCCACACTTGTTCTAACAGTAGTAATGTTGCTTCATAAGATCAGTAAACTTACCCTAATTCTTACTAAGGAAGCTCAACGCCAAAAAACTTTACGTCATGTTTGTGAATCCACTTGCCTCCTGTCTTTTCTTCTGATGCTGTCAGGCTTAAGATAATCAATGAATGATGAATAACTTTAAGGGTTTCTAAGTCATTGACATAAAAATGAGATCCCAGTTTTGTGGCTAAGCATATTAAGGAAATCTGCAGATTTGCAGGTTTGGTGATGGCTTCTTCAGTACTCTCAAAAAAGATATTAAAAACTTAACAGTAGGGGTGAGAAATGGTACAATGTCTATGGAGCACTACTTGACATTATGTACTGAGCTGGATATTTTCTGTTTATCCTCTAGATCTAATCTCCCCCTAGCTCTGTGCCCCAGGAGGACCCAAATGGATCACATCAGTGAGCTCTCTTGTCTTCTGGTTTCTGTTTGGAAGCCAATGGGAAGTGCTAGCAGGATACTGAAGGATAGGAGGAGAATGAAATTGGGTATTTATTCTAGCAGCTGTCTCTCAGCTGGGTTGCCATAGGTTGGCTAAATCCCATTACTGAGGGTCACAAGTCCTGTCAGGTGACCCTCTCCATATAGTTACTTACTATCTTTGGGTTCTGGTGATGGTTTCATCTCCTTGTCCTTTTAGGCCTAGGGATGGAAATGGCTCCCCACCATTGCTGGTTTTGTGTGTCTGCATCATTTCTTGTTGGTTTGTCTAAAATCCTCCTATGTCTTTGCAAGTATGCTGTTTGCTACACTTGTAGAAATTTATGCTACATATGTAAAAAATGACATGTATATGACTATTTATTGCAACATTATATTTCTAATAGTGAAATGTTAGAAATATAATATCTGTGAACAGGATTGTAAAATAATGGTATAACTATACAGTGTAATATTATGCAGCTGTAAAACACTTAGAACATTCATTACATACATCTGTGGAATAATCTCCAATTTATTGGTTTTTTTCCCCAACCTTCATTCTTTTATTAATTTTTTATTCATACACTCAAGGCCCCCAAAATATTTGTGAAGCCTCATTTACACCGCAGTAATCATAAAATACAAGTTCACCATGCTGTTCTCCCAATCTTTGTTATTGTTTTTAGGTTTACTGAGGTTTAATTGATATATAAGATATTATACACATTTAATGAATACATCTGGATGAGTTTGGACATATGCATACATCTGTACCACAATCAAAGTACTAAACATATCCATCACCTCCAAAAATTTCCTTGTGTTCTTTTTTTTTTTTTGTAGGAACACTTAACATGAGAGCTATCCTCTTAACATATTTTAAAGTGCACAATACCATATTTTTAACCATAGGTACTATGTTGTACAACAGATCTCTAGAACTTATTCATCTTGTATAGCAGAAACTTGATACAAATGTGGAAAAAGCAGGGTACCAAACAATGACTATAGGACGCTACCATATGTGTAAGAGAAAAAAGAAATAAAGTATATATGTATTTTCTTTAATATATGTACACATGTGTGTGTATATGTGTGTGTGTGCGTATATATGAGAGAGCGCGTCTTTGGCAGGGTACACAAGAAAATGATAACGGCTTCTGGGGAGGAGAACTGGGTAGTAGGAAACTTTTTAATATTTATTCTTTTTTGTTGTTGTTGTGAGGAAGATCAGTCCTGTGCTAACATCTGCCAATTCTCTTGGTTTTTTTGCTAAGGAAGACTGGCCCTGGGCTAACATCCGTGCCCATCTTCCTCCACTTGATATGGGATGCCACCACAGCATGGCTTGCCAAGTGGTGCGTCATTTTGTGTGCCTGGGATCCGAACTGGCGAACCCTGGGCCGCCGCAGCGGAGCGTGCGCACTTAACCACTTGTGCCACCGTGCCAGCCCCTCTTTTATTTCTTTGAATATTAAATCATATGAATGTATTGCCTATTCAAAAAAATGCATTACATTAATAATAAGGATTGAGAGCCTTAAAGAAACAATGGCTAAGGAAGAATTAGAAGAACTGCTAAAGGAATTGCTAGAAGATGATGGAAAGAGCTAGCAAATTATAAAGTTACTGGAGTCTTCTAAGCAGTGAAAATCTCAGATATTTTAATTTCTTACCATGGTCCCTTTATGGAATTATACCCTGACTATTATAAATTCTATGTAGAAGTTACTTCCTGTTCAGGGTTGAATGCACAAAACCATGTATGAAAGATCTGTTTTAAACGTGATCATCTTTATTATTTAAAACAGCTTCAGTTCTTTTAGCCTCCTCCTGTATTTACAGGGTTTACTAACATCACTAACAAAGTAGTATGACTGCACAGTGATCTTAGTTTCCAGTGAAAGGTACAACTCTATTAAAGGAAATAGGACATGAGAAGAGTTTTCAGGAAATTAGTGAAGAGGGGAAGAGAAGACTGATGGGGAAAATATTCATTCAACTAAAGTTGGTTACTCGTTTTTATGATATTCAAAAATAGGAAAGGATTACTAGCTTGATTTTTTTTTTTTTTTGGTGAGGAAGATTGGCCCTGAGCTAACATCTGTACCAATCTTCTTCTATTTTGTATGTGGGATGCCTCCACAGCATGGCTTGATGAGTGGTGTGTAGGTCCATGCCCAGGATCTGAACCTGTGAACCCTGAGCTGCCAAAGTGGAGCACATGAACTTAACCACTATGCCACCGGGCCAACCCCAACTAGCTTGATTTTTTTAAGGTGTTTTAATATTCCCAATATGGTTACCCTGTTAAAAGTTCTACAAGACACAGGGATACTCACTCACCTTTCCTGGAACTGTGCTTGGGCAGACTCCTCCGCTACAAGAGTCTCATACTCCTCAGCAGCAAACCTGTCCCAGTCGCAGGGCTCAGGCCCATCATTCTCAACATCCTGATTGGAAAGAGGACAGTAAGAGGAAACAAAAATAATCAAAGACAAAGAATTGGAGAGAGGTCATCACAAATGTTGTATATCACTGAAAAAGACCTATCTGAAAAATGTTTTATTTCCACGTTACAAGAGGTGCTAAAGTAACACTCCTAAAGTGATTTTCTACACCTCCAATCACAAAATTATAATCAACTGTTCAGCAGCTAGATTCTTTAGGTCTAGATCCCTTAGTGTTGTAATCAGAGACCCTTCTCTAGTCCCTTCTCCCTTAGCACTTTGCACAGCAGCTATCTGGTGTGACTTGTAATTTGCATATGCCCACCTGAAATGTACCATCTCTTCCTCTGGCAAATTTTTATTGCTTCTTTAAAAGCCAGCTCAGACACCATGACATCAGTGTTATCTTCCTGGAAACAGCCCTTCTCCCCCAAATCACTTCCTTTGCTATACTGTATATGCTTGAGTGCCACCTCTTGCTCTTCTGTCTTTTTCATCTCCATATACCCATTATTTACATACTGAGTCTTTTTCATCTCTGTATAACCAGTGTCTCTTCAACACAGTGCCTGGAATTTATGAGCACTTTCTGACTAATAATGTTCTTTGCAGATCAGAACAAATATTGATAATTACTACCTCTTATAAAGAAAAGTAAAATTTAAATGTAGATATTTAAAAGTACAATTTATAATACAAAAAGTGAAGGAGGAAAAGGCCATACATTTCCTTTTCCTTCTACAATATGAGCAGCATCTTGATTTATATGTTCCAGGTAAAATCATGTTTTTCTGTGATGAAAATGAGTTAGCACTGCCCTAGGATGTAAGGTTAGTTATGCCTAGAAGAATGCAAGTCCCTAAATATTGACCACACAATGTGTTAATTACTATAGTTAATCCATTTTAAGAATCCCCATCCCACCCTTTTAACATCTCTGAAATTGGCATGCTTCTTAGACTTAGGATTAGCAGTGTTTTTTCTTGCGTAAAGGTATATAAAATAACGCGGCATCTTAAATTCAATGAAATATAATACTGACTTTAGGCTAGTGATAATGCCCCTTGATATGCCCCAAGATCAGGTGCAGAGTATTTGTTTTAGAAGGTGATCTTCTTTTCTAACTACTATTTAGGTCAAACAGTTATGGAAGAAAAAGAAAAGACTGTGAAAGTTTCCTGTAATTGTACTCCTGTAGGACTCAACTGAAACAGTCCTTTTCTATCAATGTAATTTTTACATTTTAAACAGGGGAATAAAAGGGGAAGTAGTAATATTCTGCTTTTTGTTTGTTTTTTTTTCTGGACATGGATCATTTATCCAGGGTTTTCTGAGGGTCCACAGGTTTTTGTGTATGGGGAAGAGTGCTCGTCTCTATTCAGGTGTAGAATGATTTCAAACTGATAGTCATGCACAGCAATCATTAACACTTGAAAATGTGTTATATTATCCGAAGGTTGTCTATCATGGAGTTTCTAGTTTTCACTATGATAGGGAAATCTATTTACCATGCCATCCAGGAAATGAATGGTACAATTAAATCAAGCCCAATATACTTTCTAATACAGATGTGCCTATTGATATATTTTTCAAAAGTTAGGACAATTTTTTTTCAAAATATTTTTATAATAGTTTCAAATGTATATGTAAGTACACAGGCCATATAATTCATTCAACAATAGGCAGATGCAGGTTACCTAAACTTGAAGATTAGCTGGAGGCAGAGATGTGCTCTAGGTCCTTTATTCTCTCTTTTTAGTATGTGATGAAATGTTTTAAATGTTACCTCTTTAAATACTGACATTACTGCAGACAGAGACCATTTTTCTCTGTAGCACACAGCCCCTGATATTGCAGCCCTCAAATAGAAGTTAAAACTATACTGGTACCTTCTGGACCGCAAAGGGATCTCTCTGTTCATGGTCTAAGTATTTCTCCAGATTAAAGAAAGTGTCATAAAAGATGTGAGCCATTCTGCATCTCTTCAGATCTCGTAGAGTTATTTTGCCTATGTAAAAACAAATCTGGTAAATTCCAAGAGCTGTTTTGGCAAGTGAAAAAAAACTTTTACTGAAGTTTAAAAGTATATGTATATGTTTATTTTACATAAAAATCCCATCTTTTTTAGAGGTAAAATTCACCATTTTAAAGATTTTATTTATTTATTTTTCCCCCAAAGCCCCAGTACATAGTTGTCTGTCATAGCTGCACATCCTTCTAGTTGCTGTATGTGGGACGCGGCCTCAGCATGGCTGGAGGAGTGGTGCCTCGGTGCGCACCCGGGATCCGAACTCGGGCCACCGGCAGCGGAGCGCACGCACTTAACCGCTAAGCCACGGGGCCGGCCCAAATTCACCATTTTAAAGTGTACAATTTAGTGGCTTTAGTACATTCACAGTGTTGTCAACCATCACCACTATCGAGTTCCATAACATTTTCTTCACCCCAAAAGGAAACTCTGTACCCTTCAAGCAGTCCCACCCAACACTCCCACCACCAGCCCCTGGCAATCACTACTCTGCTTTCTGTTTCTATGGAAAAATCCTGTTTGTTAAATAGGATTTGCCATCAATTGTTGGTTCTACACTAATAGTAAAGGAGAAACTTAAATACTTCTGTATTTGGGAAGCCTGTATGGAAGACTCTGGAAAGTTACATAATTTAGGACAATCCAGGATCGTGCCCTGCTCTATTATACAGGTGAACACAGTGCAAATGGCCCTTTACTCAATCTTACCATCGCTGGCAGGCTTCACCAGGTCAAGCATCTGGCATAGCAAATCATGGAACGGCAATGGCTCAATGCCCATGGCTTCCATCCGTTCACACTGCTCCTCGTAGAAGTACTCCAGCTCGTACATGGAGAGTACACCGTCCCCATCCACATCCATGCAGCGGAACCAATACTCAATGCTGGAGATAAGGACACTCATTAGCAATGGCCTGGTAAAGGTCCTTTCTTCACCCAGATTTATCATCGCCCATGTTTCTTTTTACAAGTTACACATGTGTATACTTTCGACTTAGACATAGTTTTACAAAATTTGTTAGCAAAATGGCAGACCCCTTCTTCCCTTTATTTTCCCTTCCCCAGAACCAACCACTTTCAACACCCGATTATTTTGGTTTTTATCTTTGTATTTTCAGGTAAGATGCCTACATTGCTCCTTTTAAGAACTGTGTATTAATTTTTCACCATGAAAGATGAGGTTTTAGCTCTTTAATCAATCATTCCACTTTACCAACATGCCCTTCCCAACCTTTTAATATAGTCAAATTACTCAACATTCAGTTTATAACTTGATATTTTTCTTTTATCTCTTATTTGCTTAGTTTTCTGTGTACAAGTTACTAATTCAATCCCAAAAGTCTCTGCCTGTTTTCTACATCCATAATCTGCCCCATCAGGTATTCTATTAATTGGGTTTTCCTGATAAAGTCTTTCTCAGTTCCTTCCGACCTACTCTAATCTGGACTGGTTGATCCCTAGGCCTGGTTCACAGTTTCATCCTAGGGATTCCTTTCACTTTTCTCCTGTTTCTTGTATCTCACATTTTCCTCATTCTTGGTTTACTTCTTTTTTTGGTGTAACACATTCTTCAGGAGCTTCCTAAAAATGGGAGCATGGCAGCTATATTTTTTGAGATCTTGGATAGCTGAAAATACCTTTTATCTACCTCCTAATTCGGTTGGTATTTTGGCTAGTTATAGAATTATAGTATGGTGGTGCTTTTCCTTCAGATTTTTAAAGGCACTGATCCATCGTCTTCTATCTATCCACTGTTGTTGAGAAATCTAAAGCATGCTGATATCTGATCCTTTGACTGTAATCTGTTTTTTTTGTTTCTTTGAAGCCTGTAGAGGTTTCTCTGAGTCTCTGGTGTTTTAAAATATCATGATGAAGTGCCTTGGTCTAGGTCTAATTCATCTATTTTGCTGGGCTTTCTGAGAGCCTGCTCAATTTGGAAACTAGTATCCTTTAGTTCTTGGACATTTTCTTAAATTATTATTTTTTTTTTTTTTTTTTTTTTTTTTTTTTTATTTTTTTTTTATTGCAGTAACATTGGTTTATAACATTGTAAAAATTTCAGGTGTACATCATTGTACTTCTATTTCTGCATGGACCACATCATGTTCACCACCAAAATACTAATTACAACCCATCACCACACACATGCACCGAATTATCCCTTTCACCCTCCTCCCTCCCCCCTCCCCTCTGGCAACCACCAATCCAATCTCTGTCCCTATGTATCCGTCCATTGTTGTCACTATCTACTACTTAATGAAGGAAATCATACGGTATTTGACCTTCTCCCTCTGACTTATTTCACTTTGCATTATACGCTCAATGTCCATCCATGTTGTCACAAATGGCTGGATTTCGTCGTTTCTTATGGCTGAGTAGTATTCCATTGTGTATATATACCACAGCTTCTTTATCCATTCGTCCCTTGATGGGCACTTAGGTTGCTTCCAAGTCTTGGCTATTGTGAATAACGCTGCAATGAACACAGGGGTGCATGTACCTTTGCAAATTGGTGTTTTCAAGTTCTTTGGATAAATACCCAACAGTGGAATAGCTGGATCATATGGTAGTTCTATCGTTGATTTTTTGAGGAATCTCCATACTGTTTTCCATAGTGGCTGCACCAGTTTGCACTCCCACCAGCAGTGTATGAGAGTTCCCTTCTCTCCACATCCTCTCCAACACATGTTGTTTCCTGTCTTGTTAATTATAGCCATTCTGACGGGCGTGAGGTGATATCTCATTGTAGTTTTGATTTGCATTTCCCTGATAATTAGTGATTTTGAACATCTTTTCATGTGTCTGTTGGCCATCTGTATATCTTCTTTGGAGAAATGTCTGTTCAGGTCTTTTGCCCATTTTTTAATTGGGTTGGTAGTTTTTTTGTTGTTGAGATGCATGAGTTCTTTATATATTTTGGAGATTAAGCCCTTATCAGATGTATGGTTTGCAAATATCTCTTAAATTATTTTATTTCTTCCCTGCCTCTCTTTCCCCTTATCCATTCTCTTTTTTTGGAACTCCTGTTATTCAAATCTGCATAGTCCAACATGGTAGCCACTAGCCACACGTAGCTAGTTCAATTTGAGATGTCTGTAAGTGCAAATGCACAACAGATTTTTGAAGACAGTAAGAAAGAAAGAGTAAAACCTTTTATCAATATTTTTATATTGATTACACATTGAAATAACATTTTAGATATATTGAGTTAAATAAGATATATAATTAAAATTAATTTTATGTTTCTTTTTACTTTTTTATTGTGGCTAATTTTATTTAAAATTTTTTTTCTTTAACATTTTAAATAAAAATTGCATTTAAGGTATACAACGAGATAATTTGATATATATAGTGAAACAATTACTACAGTAAATCTATTTAACATTTCATCTCCCTCACAAAGTTACCATTTTTTTGGGGGGAGGTGGGAGGATGAGAGGACCTGAAATCTACTCTCACAGCCAATTTCCAGTATTCAATACAACATTATTAACTATAGTCATACTATACATTAGATCTTTAGACTTATTCATCCTACATAACTGCAATTTTGTACCCTTTGAACAGCATCTCCCCATTTCCCCCACACCTCCAGCCCCTGGTAACCACCATTCTATTCTCTGCTTCTATGAATTTGACTTTTTTTAGATTCCACATATAAGTGAGATTATGCAGTATCTGTTTTTCTGTGCCTTACATCATTTAGCATAATGTACTCCAGGTTCATCCAGGTTGTTGCAAATGACAAGATTTCCTTCTTTTTAAAGGCTGAATAATATTACATATTGTGAGTGTATATATAAATATACCACATTTTATTTATCCATTTATTCATCGAGGGACATTTAGGTTGATTCTATATCTTGGCTATTGTGAATAATGCTGCAACGAACATAGGAGTGCAGATATCTCTTCAAGATACTGATTTCAGAGTTCTGGTTCAAGATGACGATGTAGGAAGTTCCTGAACTCACTTCCTCCCATGGACACACCAAATCTACAGCTACATATGGAATAGTTTCCTCTGAAAAAACCTAAAAACTAGCTGAGTGACTCCTACACATCAGGCAAATGAAAAAAAACCCCACATCTAAGCAGGTAGGAGAAGCCGAGACACAATCTTGCTATAAACTCCACCTACCGCGCGGCAACCCAAAATCAGGAGGTCACTCAGAACCTGGAGCTTCCCCCTGAGGAGTGAAGAGTTTGAACCCCACATTGGGCACTTCAACTTTTGAGACTTGCAACTGAGAGATGACTCCCCAAAACATCTAGCCTTGAAAACCAACAAAGCTTGTGTCCATGAGACCCATATGGCTATAGTGAAGTGAGAAACAGGACTCGTGTGCTTGGACTCACCTCCCCGGGGCCCAGAGCAGAAGGAGCTGATAGAGAGGCGCCAAGACTTTCTGTGAAAGAAGCTCATTTCCTTATCTTAAAGCCTCGGCCCAAGGGGCAGGCATCTAATTTAACACACATCCAGGGGCCTGCTGTTGTACTTTCTGGGGACAGAGGCTAGCAGGCACCATCTACATACTCTCCCTCTGCCTCGTTCCAGCCAGTGGGCACCATCTTAGCGCTCTCCCTCTGCTTCGCTCCAGAGTGCCAGTATCTCCCAGTGGGGAGCTTTTACATGCATCTGGTACCCTGGTTTTTGTGGCTGCCGCCCAGGGTATGTCCCTTGATCGCCTGGCTCTGGAAGCCAGGGGGACGTGTGTTCCTAGGTCCCATGGGACTATAACAATTGGAGACAGTTCTTAGCAGGCTACCATACCCAGGGCACTGCACAGACAGCAGACTGAAACACGCCCGTAGTCTTTCAGTGAAAGAGGGCTATTTGCTTGTCCAGGAACTTGGGCCTGAGGGGCAGGCTTTTGGTTTGGCACACATCTGGAGGCCTACGGAGGTACTCTCAGGAAAGAGAGGCTGGTAGATGCAATCTTTGAGCTCCTTCTCTGCCACTCTCCAGCAGCCAGTATCTCCCAGACAGGAGCTGATACCCTTGTCTGATGCCTCAATTTTTGTGGTTGCCCCCAGGGACATCTATAGATTGTCAGGCTCTGGTGGCCAGTGGGGTTTATGCTTGCAGGTTCCACAGAATTGTAACCAATGGAAAAAGAGTTTTTAAATGGCTACCACCCCCAGGGCACAGCAAGAGGCAACAGAGCCAGGAGCCTAGTCTTTCTGTGAAAGAAGCCTATTAGCTTATCATCATAGCTGCAGCCAGAGGGGCAGGCTTCTAATTAAACACACATCTATGGGCTGACAGTAATCTCCTTTCCAAAGACGTTGGAGGGTGGGTGCTATCTTCATACTCTCCTTCTGCTGCACTCCCGAGTGCCAGTATCTCCTGGAGGGGAGCTTTTACATGCACAAGGTGCCCCGGTTTTTGTGGCTGCCACCCAGGGGACACCCCCATAACTGCCTGGCTCTGGTGGCCAGAGGGGCTTGCATTCCTGGGTCCTATGGGACTGTAACAATAAGAGAGACAGTTTTTGGCAGGCTACCACACCCAGAGCACTGCACAGACAGTAGACTGAAACACACCTCTCAGTGTTTCTGTGAAAGAGGCCTACTTGTTTGCGCTGGGGCTTTAGCCTGAGTGGCAGGCTTCAGGTTTGGCACACATCTAGGGCCCTAAGGAGGTGCTTTCAGGGAACGTAGGCTGGTGAATGCTATTTTAGTGCTCTCCCTCTGCCTCACTCCAGCTTGCTGCTATCTCCCAGAAAGGAGCTTATACAATTTTCTGATGCCCCAATTTTTGCAACTGCTGCCCAGGGGACACCTCTAGATGGCTTAGCTCTGGGCTTACGCTTGCAGTCCCACAGGACTGTATATATTTGAATAACTTAAAAGCTGCCCCCTGAGGATCTAGCTTCTAATC